AAAATAATTCTTAAAAAAAAAAAAAAAAAGAAAAGAAAAACAGGCATCCCCAACAGGATCTTCATTCCATGGTAATCCATGTCCAGCCTCAGCTAGTCCCAATCAAGGGTATGTGTGCCCAGTAGGTACAGGGAAACCTCTGATGGTAAACCCAAGGACATTCATTCTCTATGGATTCAGCATTCTAGGGCATTGTGTTACTAGTTTACCACTGCTGCTGGCCCAAATGGCAATTTTTAAGGTTAAATCAGCCAACCTAAATCTATAGCAACAGATGATTCAAACGGGAAGGATAATGATAAAATAGTTTAAGATTATTTTCAAGTACCTTTACATGAATTGCTTTTTCCATTAAAAAAAAGTAGTATACCAAAGAAAAGATGAGAGCAGCAGTTTTACTGATTTTGCTGCAGCTTTTGTTTGATAATTTTGTTTTCATAGGTTATAATTGAGAAGTACAACACATAAGAACCATTACAGGGTATACCACAGAAAGGGACAGCTGGTTAATTTAAGAATTATTGGGGGGCTGGAAGGTTGCATGGTGGTTAAGGGTGCTGGACTCCCACATGGCTGACTGCAATTTGAATCTTGGTCCTGACACTTGAAAAATGTGCTGTGTGTGTGTGTGTGTGTGTGTGTGTGTGCATGTGTGTGCCCAAAATCCTGAGAAGAGATGAAGGGGAGACTGTGGCACGGCTATTCCATTGGGGGTAATTGCTCACTTTCCCTCACTCTCTCCCATCAGAGAGTCCATGTACCCTATGGCAAAAATCTAAAATACAAAACAAATTAGAAACTTCGTTATTACCCAACAGATAATATTTTTAAGAATTATTTCATGTATTATCATCATTATTATTTGTTTAATTTGACTAGAGAGAAAGGGAAAGTGAGAAAGCAAGCCTCCAAGTCCAGGACTCAAATTGTGGTCAGCCACATGGGAGTCCAGCACCTTAACCACCAACCAGCCCTGATACTTTTTTTGTTGTTGTTAAGAATTATTTTAACTTTTATTTCTTTAATTTAATTTGACCAGAGAGGGACAGAGTGAGAGAAAGTGGGAAAGCAAGCCACCAGGTCCAGGACTTGAACCATAGTCAGCCATGTTGGGAGTCCAGAGCCTTAACCACCATGCCATCTGCTGGTCCCTCAATTTGTTTTCTGACATGAGTAACTCTTCAGGTTAGAAACTAATATAAATTATAAAAAGAGAAACCAAAATTTTCCAACAAAGTAATTTATTTTTTCCTGAGAGACTAAATTCAGTACAATATTTGTTTTTGTAACATCCAACATGTCTTATGTCAAACATAACCACTCCATGCAGTGACTGTGGTGGGGTGATATATTTTATTTGACTACCCTCAATGTAATTCATTTGAGTAGTTCTAACACACATCAGTGATCAAAATGTTTCTCCCTACAGTTAATCCTGCATTTTCAATCAGTTTCTTCCACACATCATCTGAAGAAAATTTATGTGGTGTGATTACACTCTTTTTAATACCAGGATTTCTAAAACTAAGAAAAACACCAATATTTAAAACATCAGTGTTTCTAGTCAAGAATATTTCAATTAAATTTCATCAGTACATTATATTATAGTTTAACTCGTGCTAGAAATGTTAAAACCCAAGATCTTCTGAGTCACATAATACCAACATTTCATATTAATGAATAAATTACTCAGGTTCCATACAAAGATATTGAATGATGAGAAACAGAAAAAGCCATGCTTTCAAGAGCTCTTAAAAAAAATACAGAAGAAAACTAATGAACACAACTACACGAAATATACACTAACCAATTGTAAACTAAACTTGTTAAAGGTTAACCTAAAAAAAAATACATTTTAGAACTTCGTGATACCCTCTTAAAGGCAGAAAACTAAGGGTATTAAAACAGTAGTCATTATTTTAGTTACTGAGCATCAAGACTAAAAGGTCCAGAAAAAGGAAATGTTTTGTTTTGAT